AATCTTTAAAAAAAAAATTAAAAAAATAAAAATAAATGAGCTATTAAGCCATGAAAAAAAAAAAAAAAAAGAAAGTCCGGACACCTATATTTATTAAAGAAATTGAATTGATGGTTAAAATTTTTCCCAAAAAGAAAAGACAGGCAAAGATGGTTCGACAGCTGAGTTTTACCAAAGTGTCAAGGGACAGCTCATTTCAATCTGATGTCAACTCTTCCAAAGAATAAGAGGGTGTACAGACCAAATGAACCATCTTAGAAACCTTTTTAGAAATCTTACTTCAAAAAGGCACACAGGTACAAGAATGTTCATAGCAGCATTGTTTGTAATAGCAAAAAATTAGAAACAACCCAAATGTCCATTAATAGGTGAATGCATAAATAACTTGTGGATTATGTACTTGATGGAATATTACACAGGTGAAAATGAACGAATTACAGCTACTTACAACATAGATGAATCTTAGAAATGTTAAGTGAAACAAAGCAAACTTCAGGGGACTATTAGAGCATAAAAATTTTGTAAAGATAAAAAAAGCAAAACTGAACAATAATTTTTAAAGAATATTGTACACATATGGTTAAATATATACACATGTGTGTGTGTGTGTGTGTGTGTGGCAGGCAATTAATAAACATAAAATTAAGGACAGTGGTTACCTCTAGGGAGAGGCAGTGGGATAGGACTGGGTAGGAACACAAAAAACTCAATGGTATTTCTAATGTTTTAATGTATAAGTTGGGCGATGGGTCAAAGGTATTCATTTAATATTATGTTTCATAATTTATTCATGTTAAGTATATTCTTTATAGATACCAAATATTACATATTATAATTTTTAAAAATCTGCTGTGGTGGAAACAAATGAGTGAAGTCTCCCTGAAAGAAAATCTGTTTCCTGTGCAGAACCAAGATTCCCTGACAGAAGCTACCCTTATGCAGAAAATGACGTATGTCCTCAGTAAATACTGGTTGGTTTACTGCTTTTCAAAGGGTAACATCTGGGTTCCCTTCTTACTGGTGCTTGCGGATGTGCAGAGCTACCTCCTGCCACACAACCCCACAATCCTGGCTGAAATCCTGACACATGTATGACAAGAGACTGACACCTGGTGGATACAGAATGGATTTAATAAAATGACTAGGAAGTAAATCTTTCACTCCACTTAGTGAAAGTGGCAGTAGGGTCGGGGATAGGGAAGCAGAATGAGAAAACCAACATTCCGAAACAGGAAAGGGAAGGATCTCCATCTCTGAAATGGGACTGTCATCTAAATGAGACTAAAGAGATAGTCCCTAAAGGAGAGTGACTTCCCTCTCATTCCTTCTGCGCCTACAAGAGGAAAGAGGCTACAGCTGCAGTAAGGAAAATGCAAGACGGTCAGGGAAAAAGGAAACAGGTGTAGTTGATCCCAACCTAGCAAGCTAAAACCACATGTACTTCCTGGTATTGGCCAGGTGTCAGCTGCCTCCCCAGGAACTGCCCGCGTCAGTTCCCATTTGGAGACCTATGTGATCCAACCTTTCCCTGATGTAGAAAGAGTGAATTAGCATACACCATCCTTCTGGCACAGTGATTGGTTAGGGATCGGCATGTGACCCAGGCTGGCCTAATCAGAGTCCATCTTAAGGCTTTGCTAGGATGCCTGGCACAAAGATGCCCCCCACCCCTTCTGGTTGGGTGTAAACGAGAAAACGTCTACTCCCAGGAGTGCTGGCAGCCACTAGGTGGCCCGGGTTTAAGATGATCCTACAGAAGGTAGCAGCAGGGGGAAATCAATCAGGTATTTAGAGACACACTGAGCAACCGCATCAGCTTTTCCTGGAGCCAGTACTACCTCTGGACTTTCCGGTTATGTGAGCCAGTCAGTCTTTATTTTTAAGCCAGTTTGAGTTAGTTTTTTTTACTATTTAAAACCAAAAGATTCCTAGCCTATACATTCACCATACTTACTCCATCCCTATCTTCCTGCAGGATAGCACAGAGATCCAGGTAAGACAGTCACGACAGATTTATCAATGACGCTAAAGCCAAGGGTACTGAGCTGGAAAGGTCAGAGGCAGGAGCCGGACACTGTGTAAGACAGGGTGCCTCAGCTGTCTGTACAGGTGAATGAATTCCCTTGGGAAAAGAAAAGCCAAATGAGAAGCAAGTGCAGAGGGACCTCTACTAGGCAGGTAGAGTTAATGTGGATATAAACACTCTTCCCCACATACCTATCATGGGGGTGTTGCTTTGGGGTCTTTCCCCTTGTGGAATAAGGAATTTTGAAGCACATGCCCCTTTAAGTCTTTATTACCCTGCGCTGCAGTGTCTACCTCTCCCTTTACCAAATGAAGAGCTTCCTTTTGACTTCTACTGCCCTTGATGACACTCACTTTTGAGGTGACCAGAGGAATTTTAGCTTCTGCTTCTTTGGCATGCCGGGAACTGGGGCCCCTTCCTCCTCTGGAAACAGCACCATCTTCCTGACCCTGGGCAAGCACCATCCCCTTCTCAGCCTCTCCCACTGGTCCTGGCTTCCCTGACCCTCCAGCTGAGTTGCTTTCCCCTCCAGAGGCCCACGTCTCCTGTGGTAACCTTGGGGACTGGGCAGAGTCCATGGCAGGTGCTGACTTGTCAGGGGGACAGTTCCTTTCCTTACTTCCACCTGATTTTTTTCGAGGGCGCCCCCGTTTTCTTTTGGCATCACTTCCTGTATCCTCTATATCCTGCTTTGCTGCTTTAGCAGGTGGATCCTGCCCAATGGCCTCACTCACAGGTACTTCAGCTGTCCTCTTGACACCCTTGTCATGGGGTCCCAGGTCACCACCTATGCCTACTTCCCTGTTCTCTGTGCCCTGCGGCTGAGTGAGCGCCCCAGGCAGGGCTTGCCCAGGCCCGGGTCCGGGTCCAGGCAAAGCAGGAACGGTTGGTAAGATCATGTTAATGATGGGCATAGCTGCCTGGGGTCCCCCCGCCCTACTGGGCAGAGGCAGTGTAGCCACTTTCAGGCCTGAAGAAAGCTTGGGGGCCAGGATGGGTGGAGAGACTCGGATTGGCTGAATAAGTGAGCGAGGGGCCCGGGGAAGGAGCAGAGGCAGCCGGGCCACCAGGGCATTAACCTGTGGGTTATTGGCTGCTGGGGCTGGGCTCTCCACTACACTCTTCTTCCGCTCGCCACGTGCAGGGGGGCCACCTCCAGCCCGGGGTTCCAGCTCCTTAGGAGGCTAAAAGGTGAAGAGAGGACACAGTAAGTGGGAAGACTAGACATCGGAGCAAACACAGACACAGGAGGGTGAGAAGATATGGGAAAGGGGATACCAAGCCCCCAGCCCAGGGCAGCAAGGTCAGTGGCATCAACTTCCTTACCTGGGCTGGTCTCTCTGGTTTCTTATGGGCTCCACCTTCTAGGCTCTCTACACCATTCTTGGATTTAGATGACCGCTCCCGAGGGGCATGTTCATCGTCTTCTGCAGAGGTGCCAGAAAAGGTAATAAGGTGAGAGTGAGGAGGAAACAATGGCCAAGTGAGGTGACTCTGACTGACTGACTGGTGGAGAAGGGGGAAGAAGGTGGTCTAAGGCATGTCCTAATGCCCTACAAGGGGCACTAGGAATAGAAGCCAAATGCAAGGTGTCTCTGTCCTAGTAGGTGGGAGGGCCTATGATGTTGAAAGTGCCTGAGAGTTTTTTGGGGCCTGAGAGTCTCCACCTACCAGCAAGCCCCATCGCCTTGAGCACGTGGGCATGTGCAGATCGGGCAGAGATGAGATGCTGCTGCAGCAGGAAGCGGGCGACCTCAACAATGGAACTGAAGGACCGTTTCAGGATTCGTTCTGCCCAGTCGCAGGTCAGAGCACAGGCTGCCTCCACCAGCTCATCCCGAGGTGCTGGGGTTACTTCTGGACCCATTTCTGGCTGCAGTGGGGAAACACATGCCCAGTCACACTCCAAACTAAAGAACCCTCGGCCCCTCTCAGACACCAATGTCAGCCACAGTTAAGACCAGACTGGAGATGGGGTAACTCATCCCAGAAACCCACAAATTCTCTTCATCCTCTGCCTGAGCCACAGGGTAGGTAGAAGGGCATATCCTATATACCTAGAAGCTATGTGCAGAATGACCTAGGCTGTGTCAGCCCTCCGCCTTGGAGAGAAGAGTGCAATCGGAGGGTTGGTTGTTACTTACACTGTCCGAGCCCTTCAGGTCAAGTCCAGGCAAGGGGGGCATAGATACCAAGGTCTTCCTTCGTATGCCACTGTAGCAATATCTGAGGCAAGTTAAAGAGCAGCCAACGGTGGGGATCTCCAAGCCCCGTGGGAAGGTTAGGCTGTTACCACTCCTGGCCCTCCACACCCTAAGTTTTCCTCCCCGGGTCCTCCAACCCCAACCTCTCCATTCAAGGATACTTGGACTGGCCCCGGCCACCAAGCCTTCGGGCCTTGATGTCAGGGAAGATCTCTCTGATGATTTTGCCAAAGTTGGCTGTGCTGAGTGGGCGGCAACAGGCGAGGCTCTCACAGTACTTCCTGGGTGGGGAGGGGGTAGAGTGGGAAGACACTCAGAGAAGGAGGTCATGGTTAGATTCCGAGGGTCCCCGGCACAGGTTTGGGAAACCCTTTAAGAAGTCAGGCTCTATCAAGGCAGGGAGCTCTCCGGGCTGAGGGGTAGTCCTACGCCCGCCAACCCCCCCCCCGCCCCATTCACCCACCGATAGGCATCATAAACACTTTGCTTTGGCAAACAGGTGTCAGTATGCTCTTCTAGGTGGTTACGTATCCACCTATAGGCATACATGTACTCCTCATTGCTGAGTGTACTTGGCTCTGAGCTGCAAGAGAAGTAAAAGGGACAAGCCTTACTAAGATCCTAAAGCTGTGGTTCTATCCAGACTACTGCTTCAGCAGTGCTGGACCAAATCACCCAGAATCCAGCTTTTCCTGGTAAACCAGGGCAGGACAGGGACTATTCTCATCAAGGACAGCTGTTATGAGTACTCCTATTCACCCAGCCCCACCCCAGTGAGCCTTCCTTTAAAAACCAGAACCTCTGATATCTTAAACTCTAGCACCAAACCTACCTTTTGTCTCCAGTACTGGGCCCTGAGGGAAGCTGAAGGTAGAGATACAGCTTGTCGTTGTCTGAGAATTTCTGTACATCTTGCTGAGGTAGGAACAGAGAGGCAGGAGAAAAAATAAGGCCAAGAAGGACACAAGACAGGATCTTCTGATCCTTCCCCCAAAGTCCAGCTGCCTTAGAGACTGTCAGACTGAAAAAGGACCTTAGAAATGATTTGGGGCTCGGTGTTCACTGTGCTCTGAGGAGTGCCCTTGTGAGCTACTGTGGTGAGAGGGGGAGTGGAGGGGATCGGCTTTGATATTATTCCTACTGAGCGTCTACGCAACAGGTCACAGAGAGATGAAGTAAGATGCTCAAGGTCAATCGGGCAACAAGTTGCAAAGCCAATTACCTTCTGACAGGGAAGACAATACTGCCTCTCCCACATAAACCTTTCAGTTATGCATATCTTCATCATCCTCATCCCCCACCAATTCCACCTCTCTATTGCCCTCTTCCCGAAAATACTTACCAGGATTCCCTCGACTTTGTTCTGCACAGCCTTGCTGTGGAAAAGAGAAAGCTGGAGGTCAGACACAAGATTTTCTCTGGTGTCTTATTGTTAGGGAGAGGAAGAGGGATGAGATGCTTAAGGGGTGCTCAGCAACTGCTCCCATGATGAAGAATCTCCCCATGCTCAGATGCACTTGCTCAGGGAGAGGCAGTTCATCTACAGAGGAAGTGAAGGGCTACAGTTCTGGAGCAAGGTTTGGAGGTGGTGATGAGTACTTACGAAATGGTACCTCGGAGCCTCTGAAGAAGGGTGGTGGGTTCTCCTGCCTCAGCACTACCTGAGGGGGCCCTTCTCCCAGTCTTTGGGCTCTTAGCATCGGGTTCATCTTCGGCCATCCCGGCATGAGGGCTAGAGCTAAGAGGAGACCAGGCATGAGGATTTAACCTCCCTTTCCCTGGAGGGCCCCGGGCACTCCTCATCTCCCTACCCAGAAACACAGAGAAACAGAAAGAAAGCCTCTGAATTTCCTCAGTGGTCTTTTTTTTTCCACCACTTGCCTTCTCCAAAAATTAGAAATTATCCCATTACTTCTCCAGGTCCACATATACCCAAAGAGATCTTTGCCATATCCATTCTGTCTGCCCCACCTTTCTGCAGTCTCCTAAATATGGAAAACTGTAAAGGAAGGGATAGGGGGACTGGGAATCGACGTTAGACATGTCCTTTTCTGCCTCTGATCCCGTACTGCCCTCATCCCCTTAAAAAAAAAAAACAAAAATAAAAACAATAACAACCACAAAACAAAGTTCTCCAATTCTCTAAGCTACTCCTCACGCCTTAATTTTCCTGGGAGGTCAGAAAGGATACGAACATATTCTGCCCTTCCAGCCTTGGAAAACACTGGGCCCAAGTTCTCATTACTTAATCTCGCCACGGCTTCCTCCGCGGCTCCCCCTCCCCACGGCGCCGGTCCCTACGTCATCTCCCTCAACCTCCCATCCAGAGGCGCACCCCCACCTCCCTCCCTTCCCCCTGCATTCAATCCCGCGTTGTTGCAAGGTGGGGGGTTCAGGGTGGCGAACTCCTGGGCTAGGCGTAGGAAACCCGGTTGGGGGAACGGGGTCCCAGAATCAGGGCACGTGCACATGGGTGAGGGAGATTTGAAAATACAGCCAAAATCTTGTTCTGCTCTCCTCCCAACTCATACTGCCCCCTCCCTACCTTTGAACAGTCGCCTTCCAACACAAGCAACAATAAAGGTAAGGGAGAAAGAGAAACTACCTCGTAGCCACCTTCACTCCAGCCCAGCCCCACGGTCCTGGCCCAGCGGGCTCGTGCGTTGCTTTATTTTCTTTTTTCTGAATGGCTGGAACAGCCCCGATCTGCCTAGATACTCGGACGACCTGCTCTCTCATTGGTCGTTGCTGCCACCCGGAGACAGAAGGCGCCGGGCTCGCACTGCCGGCAGCTAAAGTCTGCCTGGTAACAGATTCTGATTGGTCAATAGGGGAGGGAAAATCCAAAGTTGGTCTTATTTGAGCGAAGAGGGGGAAGTCCGGGTTAGGTTTCGGTTAAAACTGGGGTCGGCTGGGACTGCCGGTCCCAAGAGATTCTTCTCTTAAAGGGACCGCAGGACGAAAGCCCGGGCGCTGGGCTCCCTTTGGAGCTTTCTTTTCCTTTGCCCTCTCCTTCCGGGTTTCAGTTTTGCCTTCGGTCGTCAGAGCCAGTGGAAGAAAAGAATCAATGGATGATTAAAAAAAAAAAAAAAAGCTAGAAAATTATGGGTAGTAGTGATGGAGGTTCGCTGTAAGCTCACATAACCGTTTTGATGAAAAACAAATTGAGCACCCCACCCTCGACCCCCGCCCTCAACAGCATACAGGCACTCCACAACAAATCTGCAAACACAGGCTCACGTTCCTCTCTGATGGAGGTCTCAAAACCTCCGCAGCTGTACCACGTTTAGTTAAAATGCCAAGCGTTCATGGGTTTCCCGTGGGTACTTTATTTCCCTCCAAAGAGTTGCTAATGTATCTGCATCCCCATAGTTCTGCACTCAGCGAACATTGGAATTTTGACTGACACCCCCAGGGGGTGCTGGATACCCACAGGAACTCTTTACTCTCATAGAACTTTGTACCGTATAGGTCATGGATTCTTAACCCTTTTCGTTAAGGATGTTTTTAGGTCATGAATCAAATGAAAGCAATGAATCATCTGCCGTGAAAAACGCACATGCAGACCAAGTTTCGCATCTAATTTCAGAGGTCAGGGACTGCAGGTTAACATTCTTTTGAATGGATGTATTTTGTTTTGCACAACAGATACTTTACACCTAAAACTCTATTTGCAGTCCTGATTCTAATACATTCTCTAGTCTCATCATCAGTGTACTTTTTAAAGGGCACAAGCAGAACTGTCTGATCTGGTCACCTTTGCCCCTTATAGCCCCCAGTAACCAACTACTGGCTTCTGTGGGTGCTGGGAGAACCTAAGGAATTGCAGAGTTTGGGGGAAAAGGATACACTGGCAAGAAGGTTTTCGATTAACAGCAAAAATTTATTGGTGTTTTCTGTGTGCTAGACACCATCCCTAATTCTAAACACCTCATTTAATGCTCATGACAGCTCTTTGAAGTAAGTAGTTATTGTCTCTGTTTTATAGGCAAAGAAATTGAGATTCGGAGAAGTGAAGGGACTTGTCCACAGTTATGTATGTAGTAAGTGCTGGAATCAGGATCCAAAGACAGGCAGTCTGCCTTCAGAGCCCATTTTCTTGAACACTGCCCTAGACTGTGTATACATACTTGTAGACACTCATATACAAATATGGGTATAGATTGATAGAAAGATACCCCCAACCACCACTGTTTGGTATGAAGGGAGATATAGGGCACTTTGATTAGAAAAAGAGATTGGGGTAAATTATGCTGGCTTAGGAATTTGCAGGTGGCAGGGAATAAACGGAAACTTCAGAAAAGGGAGAAAAAGTATCATAGGTATGTAAAGGAGATTATTTTGACAGCACTGTAAGAAGGTGAGGTTGCATGGGGCGAAAGGCTTAAGATGGGAAAAACAGGCAAGTATTCACTTATGCCAGGCATTGCGTTAAGAGCGGGGAATGCAGCGCCGAATAAGGTATAATGTACCTTGCCCTGAGAAGTAACAATAAAAATGATCTGATTAGCATCACCACAATAACAGCAAGTATTTATCTAGAGCTTAATATGTGCTGGGGATTTCTCTAAAGGCCTCACATATGTTGCCACTTTATCTCTTAGCAACTCTATCAGATAGGTACTGTGATTATCCCTATTTTACAGATGAGAAGACTAAGGCATTGAGAGGTTAATAATTTGCCCAATGTTACACAGTAAGTGAGGGAGCCAAGATCTGAACCTAGGCTATCTGGATCAGAATATGCTCTAGACACTATTGTACAATGCCTTCTGCTATTGGGAGTGAATTCTTAAACATGAGAAAGCAAACCATAAAAGACAATATTGATAAATTTAGATAATTAATATTAAAAACTTAAATTTATTTTCAAAACCACTATGAAAAGAATGTAAAATCAAGCCACAAATTGGGAGAAGATATTTCAAGACACATAACAAAGGATTATCATCTGAAATTTATAAAGGCCTTTTACAAATGAAAAGATAAACACCCAAATAGAAAAATGGGCGGAGAGGGGCGCCTGGGTGGCTCAGTGGGTTAAGCGGCTGCCTTCGGCTCAGGTCATGATCCCAGGGTCCCGCGATCGAGCCCTGCGTTGGGCTCCCTGCTCAGCTGGGAGCCTGCTTCTCCCTCTCCCTCTGCCTGCCTCTCTGCCTACTTGTGCTCTCTCTCTGCCAAATAAATAAATAAAATCTGTAAAAAAAAGAAAAATTTAAAAAAAAATGGGCAGAGAAAATCAACAGGAATTTCATACAAGAAGCAGAAATGGCTCATAAACATATGAAAAGTTGTTCTCTCTCTATAGTAATCAAGAAAATGCAAATTAAAACCACAAGATACCATTTCATACCCACTAAATTGGCAACAATTACAAAGTCTGGCAATGCTGAGAGCTGACAGGGCTGTGAGCCAACAGGAGCCCTCCTCACTCACTGCTGGTGGGGATGCAATTTGCTATAATTTTGGAAAAGAGTTTGGAATTACTTGATAGTGTTGAATATGTGAATATTCTATGATTCAACAATCCTACTCCTACAGACAGGCCCTAAAGACAGAGGCAGTAAGGTTTATAGTCTCACTGTTTGCATTAGCAAGCAGAGTGATAAGTTGTGGTATATTTATATGATGGAATGTCATAGGGCAGTGGGAATGAATGAGCCACAGCTACATGCATCTACACAGATGAACTTTAGAAACAGTGAAGGAACTATAACAGAAGAAAACATACAGTGCAATGCAATTTACAAATATTTAATGACAGGCAAAACTGAACAATATATTGTTTATGTATAAATACGTATGTGGTGAAAAGTAAAAGTAATAGAATTATTACCATAAAATTAAAGATATAAGTTACTTCTGGGTGCCTGAGTGGCTCAGATGGTTAAGCGTCTGCCTTCAGCTCAGGTCATGATCTCAGGGTCCTGGGATCGAGTCCTGCATAGGGCTCCCTGCTCCTTGGGAGCCTGCTTTTCCCTCTGCCTCTCTCTCTCTCTCCATCTCTCATGAATAAATAAATAAAATCTTAAAAAAAAATAAAGGTACAAGTTACTTCTGGTGAGCAAGGGAAAAGAGTTTTAGGAATGGTTGTTCAGCCAATCAATAATGTCTTCCATAGAATCTAATTTAATTTGTTTGTTTTCCAAATCGATGGCCGGTCTTTTCTTTTTCTGGTCTTTTCTTTCTTTCTTTCTTTCTTTCTTTCTTTCTTTCTTTCTTTCTTTAATTCTTTCTCTTTCTTTCTTTCATTTTTTTTGCCAGCCTTTTCAAAATATTTATCATTTCCTCCTTTTTTTAAAAAAATATTTTATTTTTGGGCGCCTGGGTGGCTCAGTCATTGAGCGTCTGCCTTCGGCTCAGGTCATGATCCCAGGGTCCTGGGATCGAGTCCCACATCGGGCTCCCTCCTCGAGGGGAGGCCTGCTTCTCCCTCTCCCACTCCCACTGCTTGTGTTCCTGCTCTTGCTGTCTCTGTCTCTGTCAAATAAATAAATAAAACCTTAAAAAAATTTTTTTTAATTTTTTTAAGTAATCCCTACACCCAATGTAGGGCTCGAACTCACAACCTGGAGATCACGAGTTGCATGCTCCACCAACTGGGCCAGCCAGGTGCCCCTCATTTCCTTCTTATTATAGCTGTTTCCTTTCATACTTTTATCATATGCTAAGTTCCCTTTTATAGTTGGGTCTGTTTCTGGACCTTCTGCTCTTCTGTTGATTCTGTTTGTCTGTCTTAATTAATGTAATTATGTTTTGATATCTGATGCTGAACATCTTCCATTATTCGTTTCTACATATAGAAGAATGTATTTTCCAAATGTGGCCACAACAGTATTTCTGGTTTCACAGACTATTCCACTTTGCCACTTCCCCATCAAGAGATGGAATCGATTTCCTGTCCCCTTGAAGCCCAGAAGGTCTTTGTAACTATCTCAGTGAATGGAATGCAGTGGAAGTGATGCTGTATGACTTCCAAGTCCAGGTTAGAATAGGTGATACAGTTTCCTCTTTGCTCTCTCTTGGGACACTCACCCTGGGAGCCCAGCCACCATGTTGTGAGGAGGCCAAGCAGCCCCACATGGAAAGGTCATGTGTAGGTCATAGCCCAAGCCAAGGTTGCTGGTGACGGCCAGCATCAATCACTGGCCATGTGAGTGAGTGAGCCATCGGATGATTCTAGCGTC